ATGGGATCAGTTGCTAGGGTGCTCTAAATGGTTGCTAGGGCGTGGCTTGACAGCTTCACAATGATACTGAGAGTCTGATTGTTTGCCTGATTAAAATGAGCCCAACCCCATGTCTCTGTGACACTGTGATCCAAACATATCCATCTGGGCCTTTTATAATGGCAGTATATGGGATCAGTTGTTAGGGTGCTCTAAATGGTTGCTAGGGCGTGGCTTGACAGCTTCACAATGATCCTGAGAGTCTGATTGGTTGCCTGATTAAAATGAGTCCACCCCATATCTCTGTGACACTGTGATCTAAATATATCCATCTGGGCCTTTTATAATGGCAGTCTATGGAATCAGTTGCTAGGGTGCTCTAAATGGTTGCTAAAGCGTAGCTTGACAGCTTCACGGTGATCCTGCGAGTCTGATTGATTGGCTGAATAAAATGAGCCAACCCTCATGTCTCTATGACATTGTGATGCAGAGTTATGTTCAATGCAAAATTCCTATGTAAATTACCATAATAGGAAAAACGTGTGTTCAGATGCTGTTTCATGGGCCGTCCCTCACCATAGTATGTCTATGGGGCAACTTTGGGGGGCTCTTGCGCCCCAGGGGTACAACTTATACCCCACTGCGAGTTATGACCTCGCACAGCTTGATAGACTCTTCAAATGTGGTGATTCACATGTTTCTACGAAATTCTCTCTCGGAGCTACGACTCGTCAAAGTTGGCCACAATGCAAAGTCTATGGGATTTTTCGGCCGATTTTTCACCCACTGTACGAACATTGTACGCCCGATCACTTATAAAAGTCATAGCACACCATTCCTCAATAGGCCGCATGATTTGATGCCTCTTTGTGGGTGTGTGACAAACGGTGCGGGACGAGTTATGCTCCGAAGTTTTGTATGGAAGAAGTAAGAAGAAGAAGAAGAAGAACTAGATAAAGTTCGTGTAGACAAACTTTAAGTTGGCTTCAAAAAGCCTAGCTAGAAAGTTTGAAGTAGTTTTAAAAGCTTTAAGTTTGAAGGTTTTCAGTTTTAACTAGTTTGAAGTTTAAAATACTTTTAAAGTTTTAAGGTTTTGAAGACAATGCAATTTATCAGAAAAATAGATAGATAGATAGATAGATAGATAGATAGGAAATATTAAATTAGAAATTTTAGATGTAGATTAATAGATTCTATGGTGTTTCTATGTGGTTTCTATGGTGTTGCTATGCGGTTGCTAAGGTACCCGGGGTGGTTGCTAGGGTGTTGCTATGTGGTTGCTAGGGTAGGTTCCCGGGTTGCTAAGGTGTTGCTATGCGGTTGCTAGGGTACCCAGGGTGGATGCTAGGGTGTTGCTATGTGGTTGCTAGGGTCCTTGGGGTGGTTGCTAAGGTACCCAGGGTGGTTGCTAAGGTGTTGCTATGTGATTGATAAGGTACCTGGGCTGGTTGCTAAGGTGTTGCTATGCGGTTGCCAGGGTACCCAGGGTGGATGCTAGGGTGTTGCTATGCGGTTGCTAAGGTACTTGGGGGGGTTGCTAGAGTGTTGCTTTGCGGTTGCTAAGGTACCTGGGGTGGTTGCAAAGGTGTTGCTATGCGGTTGCTAGGGTACCCAGGGTGGTTGCTAATGTGTTGCTAAGGTGTTTTTGATAGATAGAGTCAGATGATAGATGGATGATAGATACAAATAGTCAGATGATAGATAGACAGAAATAGTCAGATGATAAATAGAAATAGATAATCTAGAAATAAATAGATAGATAGATAGAGTCAGATGATAGATAGATAGAGTCAGATGATAGATAGAGTCAGATGATAGATAGATAGATAGAGTCAGATGATAGATAGATAGAGTCAGATGATAGATAGAGTCAGATGATAGATAGATAGATAGAGTCAGATGATAGATAGATAGAGTCAGATGATAGATAGAGTCAGATGATAGATAGATAGATAGAGTCAGATGATAGATAGATAGAGTCAGATGATAGATAGAGTCAGATGATAGATAGATAGATAGAGTCAGATGATAGATAGATAGAGTCAGATGATAGATAGAGTCAGATGATAGATAGATAGATAGAGTCAGATGATAGATAGATAGAGTCAGATGATAGATAGAGTCAGATGATAGATAGATAGATAGAGTCAGATGATAGATAGATAGAGTCAGATGATAGATAGAGTCAGATGATAGATAGATAGATAGAGTCAGATGATAGATAGATAGAGTCAGATGATAGATAGAGTCAGATGATAGATAGATAGATAGAGTCAGATGATAGATAGATAGAGTCAGATGATAGATAGAGTCAGATGATAGATAGATAGATAGAGTCAGATGATAGATAGATAGAGTCAGATGATAGATAGAGTCAGATGATAGATAGATAGATAGAGTCAGATGATAGATAGATAGAGTCAGATGATAGATAGAGTCAGATGATAGATAGATAGATAGAGTCAGATGATAGATAGATAGAGTCAGATGATAGATAGAGTCAGATGATAGATAGATAGATAGAGTCAGATGATAGATAGATAGAGTCAGATGATAGATAGAGTCAGATGATAGATAGATAGATAGAGTCAGATGATAGATAGATAGAGTCAGATGATAGATAGAGTCAGATGATAGATAGATAGATAGAGTCAGATGATAGATAGATAGAGTCAGATGATAGATAGAGTCAGATGATAGATAGATAGATAGAGTCAGATGATAGATAGATAGAGTCAGATGATAGATAGAGTCAGATGATAGATAGATAGATAGAGTCAGATGATAGATAGATAGAGTCAGATGATAGATAGAGTCAGATGATAGATAGATAGATAGAGTCAGATGATAGATAGATAGAGTCAGATGATAGATAGAGTCAGATGATAGATAGATAGATAGAGTCAGATGATAGATAGATAGAGTCAGATGATAGATAGAGTCAGATGATAGATAGATAGATAGAGTCAGATGATAGATAGATAGAGTCAGATGATAGATAGAGTCAGATGATAGATAGATAGATAGAGTCAGATGATAGATAGATAGAGTCAGATGATAGATAGAGTCAGATGATAGATAGATAGATAGAGTCAGATGATAGATAGATAGAGTCAGATGATAGATAGAGTCAGATGATAGATAGATAGATAGAGTCAGATGATAGATAGATAGAGTCAGATGATAGATAGAGTCAGATGATAGATAGATAGATAGAGTCAGATGATAGATAGATAGAGTCAGATGATAGATAGAGTCAGATGATAGATAGATAGATAGAGTCAGATGATAGATAGATAGAGTCAGATGATAGATAGAGTCAGATGATAGATAGATAGATAGAGTCAGATGATAGATAGATAGAGTCAGATGATAGATAGAGTCAGATGATAGATAGATAGATAGAGTCAGATGATAGATAGATAGAGTCAGATGATAGATAGAGTCAGATGATAGATAGATAGATAGAGTCAGATGATAGATAGATAGAGTCAGATGATAGATAGAGTCAGATGATAGATAGATAGATAGAGTCAGATGATAGATAGATAGAGTCAGATGATAGATAGAGTCAGATGATAGATAGATAGATAGAGTCAGATGATAGATAGATAGAGTCAGATGATAGATAGAGTCAGATGATAGATAGATAGATAGAGTCAGATGATAGATAGATAGAGTCAGATGATAGATAGAGTCAGATGATAGATAGATAGATAGAGTCAGATGATAGATAGATAGAGTCAGATGATAGATAGAGTCAGATGATAGATAGATAGATAGAGTCAGATGATAGATAGATAGAGTCAGATGATAGATAGAGTCAGATGATAGATAGATAGATAGAGTCAGATGATAGATAGATAGAGTCAGATGATAGATAGAGTCAGATGATAGATAGATAGATAGAGTCAGATGATAGATAGATAGAGTCAGATGATAGATAGAGTCAGATGATAGATAGATAGATAGAGTCAGATGATAGATAGATAGAGTCAGATGATAGATAGAGTCAGATGATAGATAGATAGATAGAGTCAGATGATAGATAGATAGAGTCAGATGATAGATAGAGTCAGATGATAGATAGATAGATAGAGTCAGATGATAGATAGATAGAGTCAGATGATAGATAGATAGATATAGTCAGATGATAGATAGAGTCAGACGATAGATAGATAGATAGATAGATAGATAGAGTCAGACGATATAGATAGATATAGTCAGATGATAGATAGATAGATAGAGTCAGACGATAGATAGATAGATATAGTCAGATGATAGATAGATAGAGTCAGATGATAGATAGATAGATATAGTCAGATGATAGATAGATAGAGTCAGATCAGATGAATTTAGCCCCAGGGCTTGTTTAATACCAGGCTCAGGTACGATCCCTACTTACAAGAGAAGCACAGAAAAATCAGTCGCAAAGCTACATGACAGTATATCGTTTTCTAAACGCGTTTGTCACACACTTGTAGGGTTTTGTCTCCAGTGTGATTTCTCTCGTGTCTTCTCAGATCTCCTGACCGACTGAATCTCTTGTCGCAGTGTGAACACTTGTACGGTTTCTCTCCAGTGTGGATCCTCTCGTGCCGTTTTAAACACTCGGCAGATTTAAAAGTCTTCTCACACTCAAAGCACAAGTACTCTCTCACACCAGTGTGTATTCGCTGATGATTTTTCAGATGTTCCAGACGTGAAAAACTCTTTCCACACACAGAGCATGAATGCGGCTTCTCCTTCGTATGAACTCTCAGGTGCTTCTTTAGGTCTGAAGGCCACAGAAACGTTCTGCCGCATCGATCACATGTGTGCAGTTTCTCTCTAGTGTGGATGTTCATGTGTAACTTAAGAGTGGATGACTGTGTGAAGCTCTTCCCGCACTGATCACAAGTGAACGGCTTCTCTCCAGAATGAACTCTCATGTGTCCCGTTAGGTTTCCTTTCAGTGTGAAGCTCTTCCCGCATTGATCACAAGTGTACGGTCTCTCTCCGGTGTGAACTCTCATGTGAGCATCAAGACTATATTTGTATGCGAAACCCATTCCACACTGAGTGCAAATGACAGATTTATCCGTTCTCTTTTTCTTTAAATGTCTCCGTTTGCTTTGAGAGCAACTCGGGGGGTTTTCTCCAGGTCTGACAACTTCTTCATTCTCCTCACTTTCTTCAATAAACTCTAGAAAAGCAAAAACGGTTCATTTGTCAAAAACTAGCAAACAAAAAGTGCACACAGCTCTAAAGATTGCTTCTATTACAAAAAACTAAAGCTAAAACTGCTTGAAACTTTAATATTGTTACAGCTTTGTAAGCCTAATGTACCACAAAGACTCATTAAAGATGAATGAAGAATAAAGAGCAACCTCCTTGTTCCTCGTGTTTTACTCTCCGGGGTTCTGGTTCCTCGTGTTTTATTCTGCAGGGTTCTGGTTTAATCGTGTTCTCTTCACTCTCTTCTTTAACAAACACCATCTTCACAGTTGATACTCCTCCAGATATCCCTGCTTGCTTCAGAACTTTAGTCACGGCTGTCAGGATGAGAATATTACAGGCATTTACTGACCCGACTCAAAAACTGTATTTTTCTATTCACAGAAGGTGCATTTCTAACAGTTTCGAGACAAAACAACAGAGAGGGTGAAAGCAGTCTTCTTCCTCTGAGGTTTAATGGTGGCTTGCTGCATATAAACACATGTGTGTTAGCGCCGCCCGCTGGACTGGAGTGCGGACGGGCAAATTAAGCCTGGGATATTACTTTCCCTCGGACTGTTCTGGGAAAAGATTCAGAGCTTCGAGCGTGTCGAAAGCAGCCTCGTCTGCTGGTTAGTCGAAAGCAGCCTCGTCTGCTGGTTAGTCAAAAATAAAGCAGCCAAACGCCTGTGAAAGAAGGCCACACATTTCAGACCGAAGCCTAACTGTGTCTGTGTTTGTTGAGTTTCTCTCTCAGATAATTTCATTTACACATTACACTGTGCCATTTAATGCCAGTACCAATATCAATATGACGTAATAGAAGAAAAACGTACACATCCCTGCTGAAAAAAAACCCAGTAGAAACCATGCATCACAGAATTTGTAATGGTTTTACTGGTTATAATGGGAGTTGTATTGGTTTTAATGGAAACTGTAATGATGCCTATTGGTCTCTACTGGTAACTGGTTGCCTTCTATTGGTGGCTTGTTAAAACCACTAAATCCTAATGGAATAGGTCTACGTCCCAAAACACACTACAGGAATGGTTTTAATGGTTAAAAGTTAGAATTTCATTAAAGCAATAAGCTCCAAGAAGCCGTGGTTTACAGTGAATTTATAACAGCTAAGTGGAGTGCCTAACAACGCCCCTTAGCTGTTATAAATTCACTGTAAACCACGGCTTCACGGGGCTTATTGCTTTTATAAAACGGTTATTCCATATACGTAGTAAGGTTTCACAAAATAAAACAGAGCAAATAAAGTGTAATGATATTAATAAAAACA